ACTACACGTTTAGTAACACCTAGAACAGTCTTATGTCTCTTACACCCTTTTACCTCTCTAGAACAACCCAAGTAAGAGTACTTTAAGAGAGGCATGGGACTCGCAACTTCTTTACATCAAATGACTCCATTTTTTTCACATTAAGTTCAAGTACTATTAAAGACTAAAGAGAGGTATTTTTACTACAATGAGTTTTGAGATTGTCTAAAAAGTTTTTACATCATACTACACAGAAACAGTTACTTTTCCATCCCTATTAATAGGCTGGAAAGACTAAAGAGAGGTATTTTTACTACAATGAGTTTTGAGATTGTCTAAAAAGTTTTTACATCATACTACACAGAAACAGTTACTTTTCCATCCCTATTGATAGGCTGGAAAGTTGCCCTTTGCCATGCCTAAACCTGGAAAAGTAACGTAAAACACTTTTACGCCACACTACATTATTTTGACGAACTTCCCACGCAAGGATTTAGTCCAGAAAACAGCTGTTTGCCGCCAGCTTATTCAAATGGGGTTTCATTGCGTACTACTGTTCTGCAATGAGTTTTGCCGGACACCAATCAGCTGATTATACTGTATTTGCGTGGCAATGAGTGGTTATAAACAAAAACATAACCTCTCTTAGAGGTTATTACTAGTGATTTTTAGTCCTTTAGTTTGTGGAAATATATAAGGATTTGTACGGATTAAGTAGTATGGCGTAAACTATCGTACGTAACTCGTCCAAAATGTGTTTACCGGACTCGTATGGTAATCCCGTACTCGACTTCGTCTCGCACGGGAACGACCTACTCGTCCGGTAAACACTTATTTTCAGGACTAGTAACGTAATATACTATTACCGTGCACTTATCTAGCTGGTAAAATAAACAGCTAATTACAACGGCCTATTTTATTTTCTGAAATATAAAAATATTATAATTTTTATTATGTCCTAAATAAAATGTATTACGAGTTTAACATATAGGCTACTAATTTTTCAGCGAGTATTATATGAAGTATCGTACGTTACTCGCATGGTAAACCACCACTTACTGGGCTAGTAACGTAATATACTATTATTAATAATTTCAATGGTGTAGGCATTGTGTGAATTTCTTTCTGTGTTTTAACGTTCATGATTGCGAAGGATAATTATTTTTAACCACACTAACTTATGATGTTTTTAGCCGTTTTACAAACGTCAATTCTTCAATTCCTTTGCTGAAAGCTGCGTTTTGCTGTCCATGCCAGCTGTGGGGATCGAGCAGGGTTTTACATCCCTAGGGCCGAAAATCAGGTGGTAGCTTATTTACTTAAGCCATTAATGAATAATAAATACACAAGCAGTATCCATATTGTGCATTTCAATAGACTTGTTTATTGTCACCGCTGCCTAGAAAATATTTATTATCTTTACTCATTCCATTCCTCTAAATATTTCTTCACATAACCTTAAAGTTGTGTGCATTTATTGTATATATTTACTCGATTTTGTATAGTGTGGTGAATTCTGGTGTAAAATGAATGGACTTTTTGTACGATTCAGAGTAAAGAGTTCATTACTTTAACAAGTTTTGAGAATTTATAAACGATCATTTTACACTATTTTTCGTAATAAATGCAATGGTAAACTATGGAGATTGTGTGATTATTTTTCTTAACGTTTTATTTTATGATTGAAATCATATTATGTCTTGAAGACAGAATTGCGTCAAACTATATTTTTAACTAGCTGTGCCTGTTCTACGTACGGGGATCTTACAGTAGTCGGTTGAATGTGACAAAAATCACACAATGTTGGGTTTTTGGACATTTGTAATTTTATTTCTTAAGTAGGTGGGCTATGTATTCTATGGAAAAGTACTGGTATCAAGGATCGTCGTCGAAAAGGTTGTTCTATGAATAACTAGGAAGGCGTACGTATCCAAGAGATTGGCTATGGGCCTATTTGCTGTATCGTCCAGCGATTGCATTACACGGTGAGTACAGAAAGTGACACATTGGAAAAGCGAGTTTAGCATCATCCGTAAACCTCTGTTACAATCATTCACTGCAGTTGTGATTTTTTTACTTTACACTTTACACAATCGCCATTGAAGCGCCGTCAATGAGTGGAGGAAACCTTGTTTGTAAGCTATTGGCGACGATCGTCCCAGCCATATACAACACGGATTCAAGGTCTTTTTTTCTGGTTATCAAAACTCAAGAACAATTTTATACACAAAGAATTTCTGGTTCCTGATCTGGATGATGCCTAGTTATTTAATTTCATTTACGGTTACACTATGATTATGCACTTAATTAAATCCGTTATCTAAGAAAAACGTTTTTAATCTCACTTGTAACGTTGACAACGAAATCTTAAAGGTCTTCCGGGGTCACAGCAACACCCGCGATCACCCACTGCAGTACTGTAGTAATTATTTACTTGATATAACAGCGATCGAAACGCGGTTAAATCTCGATTGTAGGCTATTAGTGGTGATTATTTAAAAATTTTAGTTTCCCAGTCTTATACAACACTGATTTGCTGTATTTTCCCTGGTTATCAAAACTTAAGTTGAATTTTATAGACATAGAATCTGCAGGTTCTTGACCTGGATGTGGATGATGATTTTTTTAATTTACAGTTAACATTTTAGTGCTTGCGATCGATTAAATCCGTTATGCAAGTCAAAAGGTCAATTAACGTACTTGGTTCCTCAATGAATGGTTTTCGATTTGCGTACAAAATGTGATTGGAAATGTTGCAGTATTTGTAAACAAAATGTAATGTAAACAATTAAACATATCAGTGATAGCTTGAAGTGAGAATTGATCCAAACAGCTGTTCGTTATTTCATAAAATGTAATAGTAAGCATTAGGAGAAAACATGACAAAAATCGAACAAAATTGGGTTTTTGATGGTTCGTTATATTTTTTAAAAGTAGTTAGGCCATATTTTAATAGCCAAAGACACTCTCGCCAATCCAGTGAATACAGAAAAATAATTGGAATCTTGATTTGTACTCTAGTTTTCAAGGAGTAGGCCGCGTAAAATGACATTTTGGCGTTACAGACGGAGTCACAGAATGGACAAACAGACAAACAGACATACAGATAGAAATTGAGATCGGCTTTCTTAGGCTATGAAACGTAAAAATAACCAAAAACTGCACAATTCTAAGCAATGTAAAGACAAAACATTAATTTTATTTATATAGATGAATACTTAACAATGATTGCAAAGGATTTTGATTTTAATTTTAATGCGAGATTGATGGATATTAACATTTGCTAAGGGTCTTGTAGCTACACAGCGTTTCAAAGAGGAAAGACAACTCCTTCTCAGTGTATTTGAAATAATATTTTGATATCCTCCATTTATACCTTAAAATATGCATAAATTCCCTTAGTAAAAATTGTAGTAAAAAGATTGTTGTTCCATACGCATAAAACCCCAGGGAGCCTTGTGAGTTTTTTTCTGAAATTGGAACAAAAGTAAAACAGTAACATCGGATCCAATCACATGATGGGATTAAAAGCTTCGTTATAATTAGAGATTTAAAGTACTATGTGATTAGACGTTTAGTCACGTCTGTATCTCCTCCTTAAATGAAGTAATGTTGTGAAATATTTTATTATAGTTTTGCACCTCCAATTGTGAGGTAACCCATAAAACGTCTGCTAATCCTCGATTTGACAGTGAGGACGATTTTGGATTTTGGGGACATCAACATTATAAAGATTAATCGGTCCCGGATCTTGGTCTGTTCCGACCCACTTAGGCTACGGTAATAGCTTTTTACCGATGGAAAAATTAACAATAAAAAAAGGTACAATAAAAACGGGTAAAAAAAGGCCTACTAACGAGTACTGAATTTGAACCACGACATAAAACATCTCTATTAATTAATCAACGTTTTGCTTTAGGTTTTTGGGGGACCTAAAATGAACGGCAAATAAGTGGTATTTCTGACTAAAAGGCAGATACAGTATGATTGGTTGTTCTATTAGAAATTCGTATTAAAAATCATTTGTGTTACATATGTGTATAATAATTTATTTTACATCAAACGTCTCGAATCAAAGTCTAACAGCAAGGAAACTGGTGGGGTAACATTATTGTATAATAATTAGATTCGACTCAAAAGATACATTATTTTACTCAATCCATTATATTTACAAAATTAGTAAACGAAAACAATTAATTAATGAACACACGTTTAAAACTATACATCAAATATTTAATTATTGTTTTACTTAATACTCTATTCCGATGTAATTCCAACATTTCTTTCGAAAACAAACCAATTCGTCGGGATTGATTTGAGTGAAGAAAGGGGGTTGTGAGTGAAGAGATTCTATTTTGATACGTCCAACAGCTAAAGAAGAATTATAAGAAATACATTATAATAACGGTCACGTAGACAATCAGCTGGCCAGACTTATCCGTGCAATCTTATTGGCCTGATACAGGCATATAATAACCGGAATACCGTGGATAACGGTAATACATGCAAAGAAAGGTCCCTAATTTAAACACGCCTAAAACAGAATCTAACGTAGAAATAATTTAACAATGCTATAGTACGAGTCGTACTGGTTGGCGTAAAGAGAGGGATTTAGCTTGCTACGAGTACATTAGGTCTGAAAAGCTCACTTTACAGTGTATGGTTGACATCTACGTTTTCATAGAGGGCAACCTCCTAAAGTACATGAGTGATAGAAAACCAAAAGCAGTATGAGATTGGTACTATATTTAAATATTGTAGGTTACTTTTAGAATTTTTACAACATAATATTTTTTCATATTTCTATAAACAGTCATAGACTTTAGAATGACTCTTTCATTAGGGTCTTACTGTTTATATTTTAGTTGTTATTTTTTTTATTACAAGTCGCAGTTTAGCTCTATTTTGAGCAACATGTAATCTAGTAGATGATTATGCTTGATGGCAAATCTGTGCGTGCATACCTTTAATTTAAGACCAAAATTATTAAAATCGGTAGGGTTGAAGATCCAAACCAACTCGAAAAGAAAAACCAATATTTTTAATATAGAGATTAACTTGACATTATTTTACAAAATCATATACACCGTTCTCCCAAACGTCTTCTAGAAGATGGAAGAGGTTCCCTGTATTGTTGCATAGCCAACATGTTGGACAGTCCCATCTTACTGTACGTGTCTTGGTACTCGCTGCGGCCTATGAATCTACTGATCTCGTACACAGGTTCTGTAAACATTTCAAGACTGATGTCAAAAGTATTCAAATCATTTGTGGATGTGCGTTTAAACATTTAACTTTGAGTTTAACGATACACAACTGTTTTGATTAAATCCTGTACATTGAAACATGAAGGGGTTTTCACCAAAACTTCTGAATTACCCAATTAACCTCTAAAAGGATTTTCATGATTCTTCTTTTGAAGGAAATACAAATTTGGAAAAAGGGAGTTTCAAGTGAAAAAATGTTAAACCAAAATAAATTGTTTGAATTGAGTTATTTATTCTATTAAAGACGGTAGTTCTAGTTCAAGTAACTGAAATAATTCAACACTAACATGATTTAATTTATATTTTAAAACATAATCGGTCATAGAATTAGACCAAACCATTTTTTAAATACCTGCTGTAAATTCTATAGGTCTTGGAGAAAACACTTGCGATTTCTCGATTGCATTGTATCGGAAACTGTTCGGGTCACGATAGCCATTAGTAAACCCCGTCTTGATCATGGGAACAGGCACAGCAACAGGATCGAACCTGTCAACCTGGAGTGATCTATAGGGGACGTGGTGGGAACCTGAAAAAGCATTAAAGTGTAAAATACAAAAGAATTCACAGCTGTCAATAAAATAAAATTTGTATAATTACTGTATAGTGCCCTATTAACCCTAGACTAGGACAGTGGCGTCGTCACCCTGTAATCCAACTACTTGGAGGTCATGAATTGTGGATATTTATAGGCATGATCTGTGGATGCGATACTCGCTGGCGTGAGATTAAAGTCCACACTAATGAGTACTACTACTAACCGCAGTACTATGGTGATAATTAGACCAATTCGTAAATTGCCAGGCAAAAATGTGGTTTGGATTCCACTATAAACTGTAGTTGCCATAGGCTGTAGGAGCTATTAATTAACAGTCCTGTCTTACGGAACATGTCGAACTTAGTCAGGAACAAGACTACAAGATCATGCCACTCATCGTACAACCATCTGCATTCACACTTGGCTTAGAACACTAATTACTTATGGTCACCATTTCAGGTAAAGGTATAAAGAAGTATCTGTTCCAATTCGGAAAAGTATCCAGGCAAAGGCAATATACTTCGTTGCATGTACATCTATTGTAGTCTAATTGTATTGATAATTTTTTGTTTTTTTACCGTCCATAGGTTTAATATTTTTACAAAAAACATATTATTAAACCAATAAAATTGATTGACTAAAATAATTGATTGTGTTGATTGATGAATTGATTGTCTTGTCCTTGAGATGGGGTTGGAGTATTAAAGGCAGTAGAAATGTTTTATTTCCACAACTTAAGATGCTCAATTAATAAATGAAAGATCATTGTAATTCTCAATTTTGATATTGAGTTTCCAATTTGACATTGACTATTTTCTCGTTCAAAATAAAAATTAACTATTTTGTTTCTTGAGTAAACAAACCTTTTCCTTCATAACTGATTTGATACATTGTTTTCATTTTTTCGTCCATATCTCCACAAGGATGATGAAGGATTGCATTGTCTAACAACTTCCTCTGAAAATAAATTAATAATACGTTAGTTTAAAAAAGGTAATGCCAACTATAGTGTGAGCTTGCTTATTTGGGAACTCTATAAAAAAAACGTGGGAAAATAAACTATTGTTACTTTAATAGGCTACTACACACACAATAGCACTGGAAATTTTGTTTACTCTGATTTAAAGTTTATGTCAGGCAAATAGCGTCCCTTATTCAGAATATGTATTTTCCAGCTGAAAGTTTTTGTTTGTAGCTCTCTGTCGCTTAGTTCGCATTAGTCTGCAGGTATGCTGCGGTGGGGGTATTTTTAATCGTTTTTTTATCGATTTGAGTGAGAATAGTGACCATTAACGACTTGATACCAATAACTATACAATAATGTATTAAAAATGTTTCACATTTCCTTTAACTCGCAGTCTTTCACCTGTCCTCTATCATACACTAAAGAAGAAGGAATGAATGAAGGAACTCACACAAGAAAACAGTTACAGTCAGTTGACGGTGCACACAAAGTTCACGACAAAATTAATTTGATATTCATAAGTTCTTTATTCCAGAGTTACAAAATTACATTGTATTGGAATAGTCAAGTTTACAATGAAATGTACATAAAAAGATAAAATAAAAAACAACTCTACTAACTAAAACAATTTTACCTTCTAGTAAATCTAACAGAACGGAAATCACTGACTACATGTCAGCGGAAAAATCGCGGACTCTGTAGCAAACATTTTCAACCAAAATGTGTTTAAGTCTTCTCCTAAACCTGAGCAGATCAGTCTCCAGCGTTAGATATTGAGAAAGTTGGTTAAAAAGTTCAATTCCATTGTACAGAAGGTGATGGAAAAATGAAGTTGAGTGGACGGAAATTTTTAAGCCGTATGATGTGCGTAAGGTATATGTACTGAAGTTAATGTTGGTGTTAATATTTGAACCCAACAAGGAGCATCTCCAGAAGGAAGAAGTAGAATGGCAATTCATTAAACTACCATAAATTTGTGTTCTGAACTCGTGTGTTGTAAACTGCCTGTAACTCTTTTCTTGGTTAGTTGTGCGTCCATTTCCTCGTCAATGTATTCCTATAAGCCAAAATAGCATGCTTACCTGAATGGGAAAGAGTTTAAACTGACGCACGAAACATTAAATTTGAATATACATTATACCTACATTACAATTTGTCCCTGCCACTGATAGCATTTTCAACTAAGGAAGAGAGGGTTATTTTATTGTTTCTGGTGAAGAATGAAGACTGAAAATTAATGACGTAACTTGAAAACTCTCTTTTACTTAGTTGATATTACTGTCAGTGGTAGTAAAAAGTTTGTTTATATATTATAAAGATGTCTGTCTCTTGTGCCAGTTTGATCCCTTTCCCATTCAGGCAAGCCTGTATTCTCACTAAAAAATACTAAAGACCTATGCCTTTGTGGTCTATTACATCCTTACTCCTGAGCCATGTGAGTTTTCCTCATTAAGATGAATAGATTTTGACTGTAGTCACTACTCTCTGGTTGAACGTTAAAGAAAAGCAAGCCATCCAAGATGGCCACTTGTTGCTGTGTTTTATTGGTCATACCGTCTCGGTTGGTTGGACTCGCCAAAAATAACCTCATTAGATCGAATTTGACAGCTATCCAACCAACCAAACACCTGGCCAACATAACATCTCGAAAAACTGAAAAAACCATCAAATACCCCCGCCGCAGCAAACCTGCAGACTAAGCGAATTTCCATTTGACTGATTGGATTTACACTGAAATGTCTACTTAAAAATATAACATCTATTCTCGATTTTAAATTGGTATAATTAGTTTAACAAGTACTTAGGTTTGCTGCATCAGGGAGGGTTAAACTGTTTTTTTTTTTTGTAAAATGTGAATAGTTAGTAAGAAATAAAAACATTTTCCAAATTTGATCAAAATATGTTCACAAACAAGCAAACTACAATAGTTTACTTATTCTCCATAAGAATAACATGGGAATTTTAAATTTACAATTTTTTGGATTTTTCACCGTAACCATTAGGCGCATAATAACGCTTCAATATACTAAATTATTTGTTTTTTTAAGCTCTACAAAATGGTTTGGAAAGAAATTGCTAAATTTTATGTTTTTTGGGTCAAAAATGGGAAAAACCTATTTTTACCCCATAAAACCCCCTGTAAACCCCCGTTCCCATGGTCCGATCATGCTGGATCGCGAACTCGTTCGAATAAACGTACGTTTACACGTTTGTACCAAATTTCATCAAAATCGGATCATTTTTGCTCGAGTTATCGTGCTGACGGACATATATATATATATATATATATATATATATATATATATAAATATATATATATATATATATATGAATTTGAACGGATGGTGTTTTTGGCCTCTAGGGACCTCAAAACGAAAAAAAAATCGGTCCCGCGTCCAGGTCTTACCATGAGTACTACGGTAATAGCTTATTCCCTATATGGGAAATTCGCTAAAACAGTGGCGCGCTTTTTAAAAAACATAGTGGTGATTCCAGTTATAATCTATTCATCTAAATGGTTTTCCCTCCAAAAACTAACCTCTTTTCTAACATGTAACAGTTTCTCCATCAGACAATCCTCAGTGTTCCGCAGGTGTTTGGCTCTGTCAAAGTGAATGTTCCAATCGTGTCTGTCACACGTACACACTCCAGCAGCTGGTCTAACCTCCAAAGCACCCGGAGGCTTGGTCACCTCTGGTGGAGGCGAGGGCCTAGGGGTAAACAAATTAACTTTCAAACCCGCAACCAGGACTTCCGGATATTTCGTTAGGTACACTCTATCTCTATGGACCACTTTTATCTTCTCCCCCTAGTATATGGAGAAAGTACCTATTGTTTTTCGTAAAAATTTTAGAGTTTTAGTTTTGAGTCGATATATGCGTGTTGGATCCCCCTGAAGCCAAAAAAGTGGTTTTCGAGGTCTGTATGTGTACATGTGCGTGTGTGTGGGAGGAGAGGTGTGTTTCGTGTGGAAGTGTACAGAGCTAGGGACCACACCTGTAGTCCGATTTTGAGCAAACTTTGTATGTAATTTATTATGATTTGTTTTATATAAATTTGTTAATGTCGAACAGACTTGTGCTCTTACTTTCTCTGAAGCCAAACTGTGACTCACTAATAATGTTTTCGTTTTCAAGGTAAAATGATAATTGTTTTTTGACACATTTTTAAACAATTTTAGATTTTGCACCAAGTAACGAGATTGGTCTGAGGTTTGATAGAATTCTTTTCTCTATCTCATTCTATGTATGAACCTAAAATACTAAAATACTATGGGAAGGAAGGGAAACAGTTCCACGACGTAGGAAGTGGTGAATGAAGTAGTAAATGCTAACAGTGCATGGTGTGGGAACGCTTTGGGGGCAGTTAGATTAATGTATCTAAAATATTAAAATACTTTGGGAAGGAAAGGAAACAGGTCCACAATGTAGGAAGTGGTGAAGGGAGTAGTAAAGGCTAGCAGTGCAGAGTGTAGGATGTAAAAAAAACCAGGTGGTAGGAGTGGTGGTAAAAGAAAACTCCGAACTATGGTTTCGCATGTGCTCGTAAAAGGTTTGGAACACAAATGGTTTATCGGTTATGAAAGGATGGACCCAATGATTTCGGTTCTAGCTCACCAACCTTAGGCTCTAGCTCACCACACGCTTCTAATGCACAAAATAACATAAGTGTTTCGTCCATGACTACAACGAGATTGAGTGAATTAAACCATGTTCCAATCTTACAATACGTAGGCTGGGAAACCTCAACCGGAAGCGGTTCATCCGCTCCGTGTGGCCGGGACATCGTCGTGCGGCCTATGATCGAGCGATCATAAGACGCGCGGACGATCCGCCACGTGTGGCCCCGGCGGCGTGTGGACAGCATGACTCCCTTCTCCCTACCGCCCTAAGCGATAATTGTTGGGATTCACTCTAACCTTTCCTCTTCTCTTCATGGGTGAGTTTTCATTCCTTGTCTTTCTTAGTTTTTTTCTTTTTCAATTTTAAAGCCTGTATGTATCTCTGGTTCTTCGTTCTTCCTATTTCCCTAGCTTCTTTCCTAAACGTCTCAATTGTTCCCTTGTCTCTCATCAAGTTTTATTTTCTCAACTCTAGACCTTTCCTATTTAAGACTTTTTCCTGTTCTCTCTTCCTGTTCTCCTCCTGAAGTGGACAATTCATAAAGACGTGACTCACGTTCTTTATTTTCATGTCCAAATTGTCCATGTCCTGTGACAAACTGTGTTTCATAATGCTATCTCCCAATCTTGTTCTAGTCTATTTATGATATTTGGCATATATCCGAACGTTTAACTTTATTCCTCACTCTGTCCCAGCGCATTTTCCACTCGTCTAATGTCTTCTCTCCTCGGGCACTCTTGATTTCTGATGTAGTCTACCAGCCTCCTTGTCTTCTAATGGTATGGCTACGGTAAAAACCCTAATCGTATCACGCGATACTGTGTTGTATGATTTCCCTACTTTCAACAAAACTCTTTTATTGCATACTCAAAAGTTTCCTTTTCAATATTATCTTCCAAGCATCCTTACTCCTTATCAATCATCGGTACAGCATTGCTTGCTCAACACCATTTGTAAATGTCTATTAGCTCTGGCATGCTCTGCTAATTTCACGAAGACTCCTTTTATTTTTTCGCACATTTCCTCCACATGTTTTCAAAAGTCATTCATTTACCTACAGTTACTCCTTAATCAAGCCTGACTACATATCAACATCCCTGATTAACACAACAGTATATTTCAGAAATTTTGGGACCCGCCCAATCCTACCTACCAATATAATCAAATTATTTTCGGAGATTAAAAACATGTTTTTAAACTAATGTCAATAACGTCTGATCATTATTCTTGAGCACCTAACATAAATAATCATACAGAAGAATGCAGGTGCCATCCCTTACAATAGATGACATTGGATAAAAAAATATTGTTCCTTCGATCATTGTCCACTCATTAAATAATATCCTGTTATTTAGTTTCAGTAAAACAACGGTCTTAAAAATCACAACAAATAGTGACTGCTGCACTGTAAGTTGAATTTTAAATCAATCGAACCTTTATAAACGTGTTTTGCAGTGAAATACTATTTTAAACTACAAAAACCGAGAATCTCCATTCAATTTGAGTTTCACCAGCTGTTTCAAATATTGGTGCAAATTTCAAAGTATTTATCTGTTCCAATGTAAACAAAAATTTTCTCCATAAAGGCTATGTCACACTACGCTACTTTACTAGCAGCTAGCGAAATAGCAGCTACTAAGTAGCCAAGTGTGACACAGGCTTAAGGGTAACAAGGAAAATGTGAAGCCTACTGGGGTGGAGCCCTCATGGAATTTCAAAGATTGTTTGATATATGGCAAATCTACGTGCCACAACCTATCCAATGATACCTTAAACTTAGTGATCGGATGCATAGCAGCTTGAAAACAATCATAACAAAATTTGTGTTTGCCTATTAAATATATAGATAAATGACGACCTTCGAATGAAGCGAGAAGACATCTTCAACAGCCTGAAGATGACTCCTATGTCAGTTGAACCGGTAGCAACTCAGCTACAAACAGGATCGCCTAAATGCAGGTATTTACACCGATTTATGCTCCAAGTATTCTCCAGTATGCTCCAAGAGCTTTCGGAGGTACATTAGAAACTAATGTACCTTATTAGCATGGTATTAGTTTTGGTTATTCTGCAACTCAAACTACTCAAATTACTTAGGAATATTTCATCCCTAAAATTCACTTCAAAATGCTTGAAAACCACCTTTTAATTTATATTTTCTAAAATTTCCCAGATTCACCTGTAGGCCTACTACCCGCCCCTAATAGGCCTCCCTACTAGGGGATCTGCCCCTGCTGTGTATAATATGTACTAGGAATAATATTAGTACTTTTCAGGGAATTACTGTATATGAAATGTAAACTCACCGCTCCACAAACAGCTCATTGGTTGGGTTTCCATAAGCATCGTTGTAAGTAGTGAGGAATGGGTCCATGATTGTAGAAGTGTTCTGAAACTGTCTTAAAACCATTAGTACTTGTTTACGAAAAACAATAAAGGAAAAAAAAACTTGCTGTATCTCTATAAAACTAATGTATTGTATAACCTTACTCTAATTCACAATTAATCTAAAGACGTTCGGCCCTCGTTCGATTTTATGATTGCTTGATAACATAGGCCTATTGAGCGAGTCTATTTTTCATAGAATCCACAGGAAAAAATATCCCTTCCTTGAAAAAACTCTATCCTTATTTCCAAATCCTCGATTTCCAGTTGTCAAACCAGATGACATAGTACCATAGATAAAGGTTGGTCTATGAAAGTACTAAGGTAGGACTTTATGGTCTATAAAGTTCATAATATTAACGATATAACGAATTATTTGTGACTAGGCCTATACAAATAAAAATGAATATAACTGTAAAATTTTCTGAAAAGATGTAAGAATGGAATAAGCAAATTATAACTTGGAATGAAATTCGACATTTTGCTAGAATAAAAATTATTTCAGCATAAAAATAGGTACATAGTTTCTGTGAATAAATTAAAAAGCAGGTTACTGTATAGTCAACATGAGTAACACTGTAAATAAGCGTTCTTATAGATAACATTAAATCTCAATTGAAATAAATCTTCAATAGAAGGTTCAACTTAAATATTGCTCAAATACAATTCAAATGCCGGTACATAAGTTATCATTCATAAAAAGATTATATTCTCACTAGAAACAAAATATTGTTTCTATTGGGATAGTAATATATCTTACCGAGTATAACACCACTAAAGATTTCGACCTGTAGTATTCAATTGTTAATTAAATATATTAATTTTATCACCATGGAGAAAATGTACTTATGTCATATAAAAGGAAAATTTAACAAAATCATATTTTCGATGAATAAAAAAAGTAGTTAAGTCCACGTGGGAAGGGGTCAAATATTGTAAGCAGGAAGTGTTTGGAAATGTGTGAGTAGGCAGGGAGTGTTGTTAAACAGTTACATGTGCTGGCCTAAAACGGAGACAGCTTAACACAGACTAAACAGGGGACAGTTAACAGGATACCCCCTGTTAATTTTTTAACGGCTTATACTAGAAAAACTAAACTCGGCACACCTTTATGGCATGTTATGAAGTACTTTTTAGGCTTAACCACCACTTGGTGTACATAAACTCAAACTCAAAAATTTCAAACAGTGAGAAATAGTACCCACTACTGTGGAACATGTACTGGATTGAGTACTGACGTCTAGCGAACGGATGAGTTTGGCGCAGGTGACGGGATGTGTGGAAGTCTAACTTATTTTAGTAGATCAGGAGCATCATTAGCTTCAGGAGTTAATTAGCTTCCTCAGGAACAGTAGGTCATTGATTTCACGTCGTGTAGGTAGTGGCCTCCTCAAGTTCAACTGAAGTTGTAAATCCTGGATAGGAACGGTGCGGTAGTCAAAACCCATCAGCACACCAACCAGACGAATGAAACGGCTCTGCACGTTCGATCTGCCCAATCAGGTAAGAGGTGACGAAAACTCAAGTAAAGGCCTGACTATGTATGTAGAGGATTCTCAATACATTGATTGAGAACATGTTGCAACTGTTCCTTATAATGAAATATAGGGCAGAATTAGCTCTCTTGCAGATATAATTTATATGGTTTTGAGGGTTTAAATTTGGAGAAAGTATGACGCCAAGGTCCTTGATCCTGAAAGAACGTGGGAGGGGTTTACCGTCAAGTAAGTAGGGAAGATGGTGGGTGTGCTAGATCTGGAAAAGGACATCACAGAGCATTTTGAAATATTCAGGGTCATTTCATTATCACAGCACCACTTCATCAGTGTGAATAAATACCGTTCTGTAAAGTTTGGCGATTGCCAAAATTGTTTTAAAAGTTTTTATGGATGGCCCATTTTAATAGACCTTTTGAGTTATATGAACTAGGTGCAGTCCCGTTAGGGTCGGTTAAGATGGAGTCTACTGTATCTCATATTTCTAATGATGTATGGAGTTTTTAATGATGAACTAATATTTGAAGGTAAAAACACTTACTTTAGATGATACATGTAAAATTTGTCTGTTAGATGATGATTGACCAGCTCACAATGATGTTATAAAAAATTAATCTCTCAGAAGTGCTTGGCAGATCTAGGGTTACCGCGGTAAGCATGCACATAGACTATGGACCTGTACCTGAAATGAATCCAGCTAAATAAGGGGTTTACAAGTAAACTGTACTGATAAAATCAATTTCAATCAACGAGAAGAGAAATATAAATGTATGTTGTATGGTGTATTGGGCCCATTTTAATACACAATACAACAATATTTACAAAGAAACCCATATCATGGAGATGAATTTTTCAGTATTTGTCTGGTTTTGAGAATGAATTTTATTCAGAATACCCCAGGTGTCCGGGGTCGCTTCCGAAAAACCAAAACAGTCCCCAACAATGCCCTTATGGGACTTACGCAGAGCAGTTGTCTGGAACAGCATTTACAGGTAATGTATATCATCCATTTGTATAGCAAGGGTTAAGAAATTCGCTATTTTGTGACTATCGATTATCAATTATCAATCATTGAGATGGGGACGCCACCTAGGTATTTTAACCCAAATATGAGTGAAGGATGAGTGTAGAATGGTGTGTGATGACCTGTGTAGCTTTGTTCCCTAGTGGAAGACATCAATAGAAATCAATCCAAAAAATCTACTGATATCACTAGATGCTTAGTGATATCAATAGATGTTCATGGCTATCATTACAAGTAAATACAAACAAATAGACATCACTGAAAACTTAGTCAATACATATCACTAGACATGTATAAACATAAAATATATCAATATAGATCATTCGAGTAAACTAATCGCGTTCATTGATATCAATAGAGAATACTTTTTAAAATATGTTAGATGTAAATATAAATCAATAGACATCAATACGGGTAAATAAAATGCAAAATATCTCTAAAATTTATCACATATTAACATTATGCAAATACAAAATATATACAAAATACTAATGTAAACTGGAGAAATAAACAGTAATAAAAATGTTATTTTTTAAAAAAGGAAAAGCACTAAAAACCTAGCAATAGCATAGTAACGCTGGTGGCGCTGCCTACGGATTGACAGGCAAAGCTCTCTCAAAACGCTTAATGCTTTTTACCATGCGGTTGGCATTCTGGGTTATAGTAGTACGTTTTCTGTGCTAAAACGCTACTGCAGTATTTCAGAACCAACGAAGAAATGTCGTCAGGGCCAGCTCCCTTATTCACATCAAGCGAGTTCAACTCATCTTCTCTAAACAGCTCACATAGCAAGAGGAGATTGCGGTACATGCCTTGAAGTCATATATTGTGGTGGAGGTGAAATCGGAGACTTGTATACAGAAGAGAAGAACTTTGAAAACAGGTTAGAGATGTATTTTGAGGTTTTTCAGCAGCTTCATTATCGAGCAGCATTCGGGAAGGAAGTGATGAGGTCTTCTTAGACAAATTGACATAACTCCAGAAGACACGAATGTTACTATTCAGAGATGAGTCAATAGATGGAATGTAAGCTGAGTAACATTTCCTCGTAAGTCTATTGCATGCCGCTCGAATACCACAGAATTGATGATATAGACGGTCATCAAGATTCTGCTTGTAGCGCTTATGAAGGTGCTTTTTGTCTTCAACACGGGAGCAATATTATCCAAAACAGGGTAGTTAAGGTGTTGAACCCATTCGAATACATGGGCGAGACCAAACTTAAATAAGGAGCAAAGACACTATAGTTGAGGTCTTCTAAAGGATTGATGTCCAGGTCCATCTCCAAAGCAGGATGGTGACATTCAGCATGAAGATGAGGGTCTATGGCGTTGTGGACGTGCAAATGTACCTATAGAAGAGAAGATCAGATCAAGAAGAACACCTCGATCATTGTAGACATTGTTGTACTGCTTTAGATTGAGAAAATTCATAATATCACAAATACATTGGCCTGATGTATTGAGGTGGCTAGAAGGACTGGACCAGTCTACATTCGGTAAGTTGAAATCCCCAATAATATAAAACGAATTTATGTCTTGCACTGTAACTGACAGTTCCTCCAGAATAGATGCAAATTCAATATACTGAGTAGAATTTTGATTAGGAGGTAGATTGACACCACCCAGGACAAATAAAGAGTTCTTGAGTTTCAAGGCCGCAAAGACGCATTCAATGTTAATGTTCAGTGTTCAATGTTCGGTGCTTATAAATACTGTCATTGTCTATGCCGGACTGACTCGAGTGCAACTATTCTTTACGTTTGCTATGGAGCTAAGCGAACAGGAACGTATTACATTGTTGATGATGCGTGGTTATGGAGATAGAATTTGATCGTACAAACAAATTAGAGATTGATTTAATGACACATTTCCAGATTGATACCCTATAACACAATCTTTGTGTTGAAAAAACAATTAAACTTTTTATTGAAACAGGATTGGTGAAGAATTGACCTAAGTCTGGAAGACCAAAGATTTTACAAGAACTGAGGACAATTGTCTGGACGTATTACTATGGGTGATTACAGACAAAACATAACCTCTAGTTATTAATTGTTATTGTTAGTCGTTTAGTCGGTGGGAATAAGGATTTTTACAGATTTTTGTTGTTAAGTTAGCTTAGAGTAGTATGGCGCAAAATATCGTACATCACTCGAAAAAATGTGTTTAACTCAATAACTCATTTATTTAACTCCTTTAAGAGACTCATATGGTCTGGCCGCACGCCGTATTTTTATTTAAGGATTAGTTTTGCAAACACTGTAATTTTAAGGCTTCTGATTGGCTGTGGGAACACCATTAGGGAAACGATACAGTGGATCAATATCGGCCTCGGTGATCGATAGCGTACTGGGCATCTGAGGGTGCCGGGTTCGAATCCCGCTGGAAGCACTAACCTTTGTCAAATCTTTTTCATTATCAGCAAGTTTGGTTAGGTTATGACAGTAATTTTAGAATTAAAACATTATGAAATTAAATTTGAGGCATTTATAATTTTATTTTATGAACAGAACTATTTTTTCGATTAGTAAACCTTTATTATAGTCAATCAAGCCTCCAAATTACACTGTTGGCAAAACTATTCCTGAAATAAAAATTTTACATCCCGCAGTCGACTTCGTTGTGAAACCACTAACCAGAACCACTAAAATGGACAAGGAATGGAACTGAAAAGTGTGAACGTAATGAAATGACGTCGAGCTTACGCAATGGAGCGTCCCGTGAGCCTTGCGGGAACTTGACCTCCATCAGTTGATCAGTATCATCATTGACTATAACCACCACGGGGTATTTACTCAGGGGAGGTATAGAAGAGGCTACGATGACAGCTGTGGGCTTCTTATTAGCTGAGGGAACGGAGGGAACGCCATTACCGTAATAAAACGGACAATAGCCATCGGCCTCGGTGGTCTAATGGTTAGCGTGCTGGGCTGATATACTGTAGGTCCCGGGTTTGAATCCCGCTGGTAGCATTGACTTTTTGTCCAAGATTTTTTTATTATCAGCAAGTTTGGTTGGTTTGGTTTGGTTATTACAGTTAAATTTTATTATTAAGTCATTATAAAATTTTAATTGAGCAATTTCTAGTTTTATTTTAATAAACAGAATTATTTAATTTTTCCGATTACTAAACTTTTGTTATATTAATTCTTTATCAGCAAGTTTGGTTAGTTCGGTTAGGTTATGATAGTTTAATATTATAATTAAGAAATAATAAAATTGAATTTGAGACATTTATAATTTTATTTTATGAACAGAACTATTTTTGCGATTAGTAAACCTTCATTGTCAAAGTGCTCTCTACTACAGCGCTGTTCACGGAGGAATTTTGAACTAAATGCCTCTTTCGTACCTCCCCTAAGTCAGACCCTAACCACGGCCGCCTTTAACTCCAGGGGCCCGTTTCATAGTAAACTACAAGTTACAAGCTGTCACTTGTAACTTGTAATTCCCATTAGATTTGCATTGGGCGATCAGCTGATTTACTAATAACATTAATTTGTACTTTATTATGAAATGGGCCCCAGGCCGCGGCCTTCGAACTGGCAACGTTGCAAGTGGTGTTGTAACAGCTGGTGTGTTTGTGTATTTGTGTATTTACTGTACGAAAGATTGGTTACTGGACTATGACAATATTTACTCCGCTTAAAATATACAGATATAGATTTTTAATTCATATTGTTTCGGTTTTCAATATTCTGTATGTTTTAATTTCAAAATTTTAATAAATTTATGTTTATAAATTTAAATCAATTAAATGCGAATTAATGAGCTGATGTCACCTGTCTGCCATGTTATCTTATGGGACATAATATGTCACTAAACAACTTCACTTGCGACGTTACCAATTCTACCAGGCCGCGGCCTGTAGTTAAAGGTGGCCGTGTTATAACACTACTATATAAACTATATACTATCATAGATTAACCAACACAAGGGAGTATGTTTTATCTATGATACTATATACACTATAGTGTTATACAGTGTGTAAATTAAGTATGGAAACAAATCTGTATTTTTTAAACCAAAATAGATAGAAATATTGGGTTTGTGGCATTGACTGTTAACCAAGGTTCCGCAATTTTTTGCATCAGAAAAAATTTTTCACCCCCTCAGGGGGGGTAGGGGTAGGGGGTAACTTAATTTTTTTAAATAGCAACCCCTATTGAGTGACCTCTCATTTTGAAGGGTTTGTCAAAAGAAATACAATGCCGTAAACCCGAGGTCGATATCTTACCCCTAACCAGAATGGCGGCCATTTTAAATTTCGAGATGGGCAAACGAAATCCAGTGTGGATACCCATAATTTACCTTTTAAATGGGTTACATTGGGTAAGCCGAACTCCAGATACCATTATTAGATTGAAAAGTGGATGTTTTTATCGTATTCAAAATTTTGCCCCAGCCCCCAAAATAGGGGATTTTGGGGGCAGCCCCAAATTTTTTAACGCAACCCCCTATTGAGTGACCCCTCGTTTTGAAGGGTTTGTCAAGACAAAAGCAGTGGCACAAATCTTAGGTCGATATGTCATCCCTAGACGAAATGGCAGGCATTCAAAAACTTGATTGGGTAAAAAAGCGCCCATTTCACCAATTAAAAATGTTGAATGCCTGCCATTTCGTCTAGGGATGACATATCGACCTAAGATTTGTGCCACTGCTTTTGTCTTGACAAACCCTTCAAAACGAGGGGTCACTCAATAGGGGGTTGCGTTAAAAAATTTGGGGCTGCCCCCAAAATCCCCTATTTTGGGGGCTGGGGCAAAATTTTGAATACGATAAAAACATCCACTTTTCAATCTAATAATGGTATCTGGAGTTCGGCTTACCCAATGTAACCCATTTAAAAGGTAAATTATGGGTATCCACACAGGATTTCGTTTGCCCATCTCGAAATTTAAAATGGCCGCCATTCTGGTTAGGGGTAAGATATCGACCTCGGGTTTACGGCATTGTATTTTTTTTTTACAAACCCTTCATAATGAGAGGTCACTCAATAGGGGTTGCTATTTAAAAAAATTAAGTAACCCCCTACCCCTACCCCCCCCTGAGGGGGTGAAAATTTTTTTCTGATGCAAAAAATTGCGGAACCTTGGTTAACAGTCAATGCCACAAACCCAATATTTCTATCTATTTTGGTTTAAAAAATACAGATTTGTTTCCATACTTAATTTACACACTGTATAGTCAATGGTATCATCCCACGAGCACATGATCAACGACCTTCTCACCGCAGTATTTCACCTTCCTTTTTTTAGAACCTTTGGAACAGTTACACGGAACTGTTTGGGATAATGTTCAATGCAACTGTGACAAAAAGTATAGAATAGGTTTGGCGAAACCGTTATATTACAAATAGCTCCGTTCCTTCTCAACTTGATTATTTTTCCTGCATAAAAATTTAATTATTATGATATACCTTTTTTGCTCCTCCTCATAATAATAACAAGTCTTTTATAGACATAACCTGTAAGTTAGTTAACTGGTTTCGTTATTAATTATTCTTATATTACATCACGAAAACCGGCTTATTCTTAAAAGATAATGATAGTAGCATACTAAGGAAAACTATTCAAAGAAATTGCACAGTTTTGATAAATTTGCTAACAATGAGAAAGGTTATAAGGTATAAGGTATTGTTCATAATTATAATAAATTTAAATTACCTTCTTCTGTTTCGAAATTCAGCTCCCCAACTATTATTTCAATGGCATGGGCTTCTTCCAGATGCTGGATCAAGTTTTCAAACCACGAAAATTGATGAGAGCAATCACCCTCTGGGCAAATAAGCCTTTTCGGGTTGTTTGAACAGTCAGATTGTTCACTACAACAAATATCATGCACATAACGTGTATGGCGCGTTAAATTAAATTTACTAGCAAAGTTTTTGTCACAAATTGAACATTCGAACTTTTTTATATCAGACATACTGATCCCGAACTCTTTAACTTGATATTACACCATCGATTTAAGAGAAAGTTTCCAATCACTAGACAAAATGGAGGTTGAAGACAGAGATCCACGAAACACCTAAAAAAAGGAAATGGAATGGAACTCTTTGTTTGTAATGTAACGGTTTTAACAAATCTATTCCAAACAGATCCGTGTAACTGTTCCAAAAGTTAAAAAAAAGGAAGGTGAAATACTGCGGTGAGAAGGTCGCCACGATCACGACTTTAGAATTATAGCTCAGTGATCACACCAAAACCAAAACAAAACACCACATTACCATACCACAACACCACCAAACCAAACCAAACATCACTAAGACCATTGACTAAGGGTTGTCTGTGCTAAGACTTAAGACTAACCGGACTAACTTACCAACTTACCATACCACTACCAATCAATACACTAAACAAAAACAACACATCTTCTTAACCTCAAATTTGATTACTCGACCGACCGGGCGGCCACCATTAGTAGTTTTAAATTATTTTAAAAGTTAGCCTTTTATTGTTTAGCACCTACTTTTGTGTTTACCTTTGTTTCAATTCAAGGATTGGCAAAATGATGTCCTCATCTTCTGTAATTGTAGATAAAATACATTCTACTGTTAGAATTGACAGCCCTACTCATGTAATAAATTTATCAGAACAGGTTTTTAAAGTAGAAATGTCTCCTTTTGAATGGTCTCATAATCTTATTTGTGTTGCACATTCAGATGAAATCATCATTGGGACCGTCAAATTTCAAGTAAGTCAACTTCACCATCTTTCGGCATCATTGAACTTGCATGTTGGATTATCAAGCTGCAAAATCTTTATTGTAAAATAGATTATAGGCCTAGTTGTAATTTTGTTATTAATTGATTGTAGGTATAGGCCTACCTATTATTGTTTGTTATTTATTTAAAATCTAGCTGTCTTGATTGTTATCATTACTACATTGTAAAAAATGGTGGAACCGTTGATAATAAATAGGCCTAAATAAGTTAAACTAATTTTTCTTTCTTGTGCTAGGCTAAACTTAGGCCTAAGTTAGGCCTAAACTTAACTTAGCTAAAAACACTGCAAGAAGAATATAGAATACTAGCAGTTACCCGGCTAGCCTTGCTGCGCTAACAAAATACATTATTATCTGTCTGTGTGAAAAGCATGTTTTTTCTACATTCAAACCGACAATATTCAGAGATTGCTCTAGTGCCTTATAATGGTGATTGCGAAAGCAAGACACTAAGGAAATTGTTGTTGCTTAAATTCAGAGGGTAATTCGGGTGAAATCATCAGTATTCTTGGGATTAAGACTATTTCTCCCTTGAACCTACCACTGATAATTTTTGCTTTAATCAATTTTGACGTCATTTTTTTAATCGTTAGTCTGGTAACGTTGCACAGCTTCGGTGGATTTTAGTTTCACATTATTATTGGAGTTCTTTCTTTTAATGACAGAAATGTGGTGGGTTTATGACAAATTGAGAGGCATTTGAATACCCGAGATAAGTTACCACGCATGATTATTAGGCTACTGCTGATCAATTTTGTTTTAATAGGAAGAAGATGAGGAGATGGAAGACGAAATTGAATTTGAGGTCATAAAATCTTTTAAAATTGAAAAGCGGGTTCATTCTTTGGCATGGTGTCCTGAAACCTCTTTGAACATTATACCCAAAAGCATTATCTTTGCCTGTGGTACTGCGAATCATATACATATTTATTCAACTAATATGGCAGACAAAACTCAAATGCAGGTAAGTTGATACCATTCTACCTAATAGCTAAGTTAAGTCTACAAATAGAATAGGAATAGGAGAAACAAATAAAAATTGTTCGGACAAAGCTGTTTCCATTTTATTAAATTGCTGTAGTACATCACGGTAAATTATTCTTTACCAGGTCTCACATATAAACTTGAACCATTAAAAAGGCATATCCTTACTGAACTTGTTCTCATCTGTACAAACTGTTCAACTGTACAAGTATTACTTACAATAAAATTACCCCGCCGCAGCAAACCTGCCGACTAAGCGAATTTCAATTTGTCTGAATTGATTTTCAATTAAATTTATCCAAACAACATTAGGTTTAATGAGTACCTAGGTTTGCTGCTACGAAGAAACTAATAAGTGTATTTTTAAGTAAAATATTGATAGTTTAATATAAAATAAAAAAATTTGCCAAGTTTGATCAAAATATATCCCTAAACAAGCAAAATACAACAGTTTACAATATTCTCCATAAGAATAACATGGACATTTTCAATTTACAGTTTTTTTTTTAATTTTCTCCGTTACCAATAACCGTACAAAAATACTTTGATATACTAAATTATTTGTTTTATTTTAAGTTTAGCTCTTTAAAAAGGACTAACTTAGAGAGAAATTGGGAAATTTTGTGTTTTGAGAGTCAAAAATGAGAAAACCCATTTTTTACCCCATAAAACCTCCCGTAATACCCCGTTCCCATCAGTGACGGATTTAGGGTTCTTGCGGCCCTAAGCCAAATTACAAGAGCGGCCCTCCCCCTGTGGTGGAAATTCCTTGTGATCGCGGAAGTAATTGTTAATATCTCCTATTCATCAAGGGGACATCATCGACACCCGTGATCGTGGACATCTCCCGCGACCGTGGAGAAATCGTTAACATCTACCGCGGGCCCCAATCATGGGGACATCATCATCAACATTCTTATCCCCGGAAAAATCGTAAACATCTCCCGAGAGCCACAATCACGGGTGTACATCATCCTCGCGACATTCGCGATTGCGGCAAAGTCATGGTAAACTCCCGTGAACTGCGATCATGAGGACATCATCACTGTCACCCACGGCCGCAGAGAAATTTTAAACATCCCCCTTGAAAGCCATCGCGGTGACATCATAATTGGCACACGCGGCCGCGGCGAAATTGTAAACATCTCCCACGACCGCAGCGAAATTGTTAACATCTACCGCGGGCCACAATCACGGGGACATAATCATTGCCACTCGTGACCTCGGTGAAATCGTGAACATCTTCCGTGGGCCGCAATCAAGGGGACATCATTATTTTCACCTACGATCGCAGCAAACTTATGGTTTAAAACAATTAAGCATTTTTTGTTCTAAGAAAAAATATTTTTTGTCAATCCTCTGCGGCCCCCTTTTGCTTGCGGCCTAATCGGCACTGGTTCCCATGGTCCAATCATGCTGGTTCGCGAACTCATTCAAGTTTATCCCGCCTTACACCTTGAAACCAAATTTCATCAAAATCGGACAAAAATTACACAAGTTATCGCATTAACGGACATAGGTATATGTATTAGTAATTGAAATACAGTAAATAAGTAGGCCTAAACATTTTGTACCCTTTGAGTTATTAATTTATTGAATAACTAACTTGTTTCGGCTCTTAGGCCATGATCGCAGTTATTAACAAATAGTAGGCTAAATAAATATAAATGTAAATAATAAATAAGTAAATTATCATATGATTTTTAAATTTTGTCTTGTACATAGGGTGGCTCAGGTGTGGTCTTCTTTTGATTTATTATATAAGATTTTTTCATATATTAGGTTTCCTTTTAGGATTTGCATTGTATTGAGTATGTTTTCAGGATCTTTTTTATGGTTTCTATATAGCCTATATGTAGAATTCTTCTTTAATGAATAATTTGTCTATAGCCTGTAGGACATGTGGACATATAAAAAAATTTGAACAAATGGTGTTTTTGGCCTCACAGGACATCAAAATGAAAAGGTTAATCAGTCCCGGGCCTAAGTCTTACCGTACCAACTACGGTAATAGCTACTTCCCTATAGGGAAATTCGCTAAAAAAACAAAAAAACTAGGAGTGCATTTGTTGTGATTTAAATGACTATAATCTATAAATTTCATACATTCTACTTATTAACTCTAATTTGTTATTGTAAGCTATTTAACTCTTGCTGACTCCCAACTCAATAAACATAAACCATCTGTGACCTTGCTGAAACTGCAATGACAGTCTGAATATGTGGTCCCAACACTAGGAACTGAAAGGACACAGATACTATGTCAACAGCCTGGCGTATTAGCATCAACCAGTTATCTAACCTATGTGGTCTAGCACTGTTACAGGACCTGAAGGGACACAGATACTATGTCAACAGCCTGGCGTATTAGCATCAACCAATGATGATCTAACCTATATGGTCTGGCACTGTTAGAGGAACTGAAGGGACACAGATACTATGTCAACAGCCTGGCGTATTAGTGTCAACCAGGTATGATCTAACCTATGTGGTCTGGCACTGTTACAGGACCTGAAGGGACATAGCTATGTCAATAGCCTGGCGTATTAGCGTCAACCAGTGATGATCTAACCCTAACCTATGTGGTCTGGCACTGTTCAGGAACTGAAGGGACGCAGCAGCTATGTCAATAGCCAGGCGTATTAGTGTCAACCAGTGATGAGCTAACCTTTGTAGTCTGGCACTGTTACAGGAACTAAAGGGACGCAGCAGCTATGTCAACAGCCTGGCGTATTAGTGTCAACCAGTGATAATCTAACCTATGTGGTCTGGCACTGTTACAGGAACTGAAGGGACACAGCAGCTATGTCAACAGCCTAGCGTATTAGCATCAACCAGTGATGATCTAACCTATGTGGTCTGGCACTGTTACAGGAACTGAAGGGACACAGCAGCTATGTCAATAGCCTGGCGTATTAGCATCAACCAGTGATAATCTAACCTATGTGGTCTGGCACTGTTACAGGAACTGAAGGGACACAGCAGCTATGTCAACAGCCTAGCGTATTAGCATCAACCAGTGATGATCTAACCTATGTGGTCTGGCACTGTTACAGGAACTGAAGGGACACAGCAGCTATGTCAACAGCCTGGCGTATTAGTGTCAACCAGTGATGAGATAACCTTTGTAGTCTGGCACTGTTACAGGAACTGAAGGGACGCAGCAGCTATGTCAATAGCCTGGCGTATTAGTGTCAACCAGTGATAATCTAACCTAACCTATGTGGTCTGGCACTGTTACAGGAACTGAAGGGACACAGCAGCTATGTCAACAGCCTGGCGTATTAGTGTCAACCAGTGATGAGCTAACCTTTGTAGTCTGGCACTGTTACAGGAACTGAAGGGACACAGCAGCTATGTCAATAGCCTGGCGTATTAGTGTCAACCAGTGATGAGCTAACCTTTGTAGTCTAGCACTGTTACAGGAACTGAAGGGACACAGCAGCTATGTTAACAGCCTGGCGTATTAGTGTCAACCAGTGATGAGCTAACCTTTTGTAGTCTGGCACTGTTACAGGAACTGAAGGGACGCAGCAGCTATGTCAATAGCCTGGCGTATTAGCATCAACCAGTGATGATCCAACCTATGTGTTCTGGCACTGTTACAGGAACTGAAGGGACACAGCAGCTATGTCAACAGCCTGGCGTATTAGTGTCAACCAGTGATGAGCTAACCTTTGTAGTCTGGCACTGTTACAGGAACTAAAGGGACGCAGCAGCTATGTCAATAGCCAGGCGTATTAGTGTCAACCAGTGATGAGCTAACCTTTGTAGTCTGGCACTGTTACAGGAACTAAAGGGACGCAGCAGCTATGTCAACAGCCTGGCGTATTAGTGTCAACCAGTGATAATCTAACCTATGTGGTCTGGCACTGTTACAGGAACTGAAGGGACACACAGATACTATGTCAACAGCCCGGTGTATTATTGTCAACCAGTGATGATCTAACCTATGTGGTCTGGCACTGTTACAGGAACTGAAGGGACACAGCAGCTATGTCACCAGCCTGGCGTATTAGGGTCAACCAGTGATGGTCTAACCTATGTGGTCTGGCACTGTTACAGGAACTGAAGGGACACAGCAGCTATGTCACCAGCCTGGCGTATTAGGGTCAACCAGTGATGGTCTGACCTATGTGGTCTGGCACTGTTACAGGAACTGAAGAGACACACAGATGCTATGTCAACAGCCCGGTGTATTATTGTCAACCAGTCATGATCTAGCCTATGTGGTATGGCACTGTTACAGGAACTGGGACACAGCAGCTATGTCAACAGCCTGGCGTATTAGCGTCCACCAGTAATGATCTAACCTATGTGGTCTGGCACTGTTACAGGAACTGAAGGGACATAGCTATGTCAATAGCCTGGCGTATTAGCGTCAACCAGTGATGATCTAACCTATGTGGTCTGGCACTGTTACAGGAACTGAAGGGACACAGCAGCTATGTCAACAGCCTGGCGTATTAGTGTCAACCAGTGAAGAGCTAACCTTTGTAGTCTGGCACTGTTACAGGAACTGAAGGGACACAGCAGCTATGTCAACAGCCTGGCGTATTAGTGTCAACCAGTGAAGAGCTAACCTTTGTAGTCTGGCACTGTTACAGGAACTGAAGGGACACAGCAGCTATGTCAACAGCCTGGCGTATTAGTGTCAACCAGTGAAGAGCTAACCTTTGTAGTCTGGCACTGTTACAGGAACTGAAGGGACACAGCAGCTATGTCAACAGCCTGGCGTATTAGTGTCAACCAGTGAAGAGCTAACCTTTGTAGTCTGGCACTGTTACAGGAACTGAAGGGACACAGCAGCTATGTCACCAGCCTGGCGTATTAGGGTCAACCAGTGATGGTCTAACCTATGTGGTCTGGCACTGTTACAGGAACTGAAGGGACACAGCAGCTATGTCACCAGCCTGGCGTATTAGGGTCAACCAGTGATGGTCTGACCTATGTGGTCTGGCACTGTTACAGGAACTGAAGAGACACACAGATGCTATGTCAACAGCCTGGTGTATTATTGTCAACCAGTCATGATCTAGGCTATGTGGTATGGCACTGTTACAGGAACTGGGACACAGCAGCTATGTCAACAGCCTGGCGTATTAGCGTCAACCAGTGATGATCTAACCTATGTGGTCTGGCACTGTTACAGGAACTGAAGGGACATAGCTATGTCAATAGCCTGGCGTATTAGCGTCAACCAGTGATGATTTAACCTATGTGGTCTGGCACTGTTACAGGAACTGAAGGGACACTGCACCTATGTCAACAGCCTGGCGTATTAGTGTCAACCAGGTATGATCTAACCTATGTGGTCTGGCACTGTTACAGGAACTGAAGGGACACAGCAGCTATGTCAACAGCCTGGCGTATTAGCATCAACCAGTTATGATTTAACCTATTTGGTCTGGCACTGTTACAGGAACTGAAGGGACAAATCAGCTATGTCAACAGCCTGGCGTATTAGCGTCAACCAGTGATGATTTAAGATTTAACCTATGTGGTCTGGCACTGTTACAGGAACTGAAGGGACACAGCAGCCATGTCAACAGCCTGGCGTATTAGTGTCAACCAGGTATGATCTAACCTATGTAGTCTGGCACTGTTACAGGAACTGAAGGGACACAGCAGCTATGTCAACAGCCTGGCGTATTAGCATCAACCAGTTATGATTTAACCTATTTGGTCTGACACTGTTACAGGAACTGAAGGGACACAGCAGCTATGTCAACAGCCTGGCGTATTAGCGTCCACCAGTAATGATCTAACCTATGTGGTCTGGCACTGTTACAGGAACTGAAGGGACATAGCTATGTCAATAGCCTGGCGTATTAGCGTCAACCAGTGATGATCTAACCTATGTGGTCTGGCACTGTTACAGGAACTGAAGGGACACAGCAGCTATGTCAACAGCCTGGCGTATTAGTGTCAACCAGTGAAGAGCTAACCTTTGTAGTCTGGCACTGTTACAGGAACTGAAGGGACACAGCAGCTATGTCAACAGCCTGGCGTATTAGTGTCAACCAGTGAAGAGCTAACCTTTGTAGTCTGGCACTGTTACAGGAACTGAAGGGACACAGCAGCTATGTCAACAGCCTGGCGTATTAGTGTCAACCAGTGAAGAGCTAACCTTTGTAGTCTGGCACTGTTACAGGAACTGAAGGGACACAGCAGCTATGTCAACAGCCTGGCGTATTAGTGTCAACCAGTGAAGAGCTAACCTTTGTAGTCTGGCACTGTTACAGGAACTGAAGGGACACAGCAGCTATGTCACCAGCCTGGCGTATTAGGGTCAACCAGTGATGGTCTAACCTATGTGGTCTGGCACTGTTACAGGAACTGAAGGGACACAGCAGCTATGTCACCAGCCTGGCGTATTAGGGTCAACCAGTGATGGTCTGACCTATGTGGTCTGGCACTGTTACAGGAACTGAAGAGACACACAGATGCTATGTCAACAGCCTGGTGTATTATTGTCAACCAGTCATGATCTAGGCTATGTGGTATGGCACTGTTACAGGAACTGGGACACAGCAGCTATGTCAACAGCCTGGCGTATTAGCGTCAACCAGTGATGATCTAACCTATGTGGTCTGGCACTGTTACAGGAACTGAAGGGACATAGCTATGTCAATAGCCTGGCGTATTAGCGTCAACCAGTGATGATTTAACCTATGTGGTCTGGCACTGTTACAGGAACTGAAGGGACACTGCACCTATGTCAACAGCCTGGCGTATTAGTGTCAACCAGGTATGATCTAACCTATGTGGTCTGGCACTGTTACAGGAACTGAAGGGACACAGCAGCTATGTCAACAGCCTGGCGTATTAGCATCAACCAGTTATGATTTAACCTATTTGGTCTGGCACTGTTACAGGAACTGAAGGGACAAATCAGCTATGTCAACAGCCTGGCGTATTAGCGTCAACCAGTGATGATTTAAGATTTAACCTATGTGGTCTGGCACTGTTACAGGAACTGAAGGGACACAGCAGCCATGTCAACAGCCTGGCGTATTAGTGTCAACCAGGTATGATCTAACCTATGTAGTCTGGCACTGTTACAGGAACTGAAGGGACACAGCAGCTATGTCAACAGCCTGGCGTATTAGCATCAACCAGTTATGATTTAACCTATTTGGTCTGACACTGTTACAGGAACTGAAGGGACACAGCAGCTATGTCAACAGCCTGGCGTATTAGCGTTAACCAGGTATGATCTAACCTATGTGGTCTGGCACTGTTACAGGAACTGAAGGGACATAGCTATGTCAATAGCCTGGTGTATTAGCGTCAACCAGTGATGATCTAACCCATGTGGTCTGGCACTGTTACAGGAACTGAAGGGACACAGCAGCTATGTCAACAGCCTGGCGTATTAGTGTCAACCAGTGATTATCTAACCTATGCGGTCTGGCACTGTTCAGGAACTGAAGGGACGCAGCAGCTATGTCAACAGCCTGGTGTATTAGTGTCAACCAGTGATGATCTAACCTATGTGGTCTGGCACTGTTACAGGAACTGAAGGGACACAGCAGCTATGTCAACAGCCTGGCGTACGAACCCTCAGGCGATCTATTAGCCTCAACCAGTGATGATCTGACTTGTCGTATCTGGGCTGTCAAAGAAGGTTCTGCTTGTGTGACCGTGTTTGTACTCAAGTCTCCAGGTAATTTAGCCTAACTAGCTCGTTGTAAGTTTCCTTCAATAAAATATACTCCTAATTTCATGGTAGAGTAGGGGTGGTTCAAAATTTCTTTCATAGCTCAAAATTCTAAGTGTGATGGAGAGAATATTCCCTTAACTTTTGAGAGGGCGCCACCTTGTAATAAGTTGCTTAGTGTATCCGTAATTAACAAGGAAACCAATGGTATGCTGCAGATGGATGGTTAATCTAAGACCAGGTTTCACAATGAAAACAATATTTTATCCTTCAATCCTATAATGTTGACAAATTTCACTACCTATTCTGACGTTTCATGTTCTCACGTTTCACGTTCTTGGCTTTCAGAGTTTGTAGTTTCCATTTGATTTTTTGTTTTTGTGTCAGTTTTGGTAGTGGAAGTTTCCTCTTGGTGTGAATTTACTCTTTCTATTTTGAGTATTAGTCTATTGTTTTGATCGTTAAGATCTTGTACCCTAGCTTTGAGATGCTTAATGATGCCTAGCCACTCCTCTTCAATTTCTTCACGTAATATAGGATCTTCATTTCTTCTCAGCTTCAAATTTTCATGTAAAGTAGGCTTTTTTGTTTTAAGATTTAACCCTACATATTATATACCAAATTGTTCGTCTAGGTGTGTAGATGTGCAAAGTGGCTTTAGATTTTCAAAATACATCTTTTTAAGGGCGTGGGCTGCCCTCAAAGTTCCTTCCATAAGGATAACATTGTGATTGATTTGAATGTTATTATATTCTGAAACAGATGGCAATACATTAGTTAAACAAAATTAAATCCCAGCTGTTTTGTTTGGTTTTGAAATGTAAACAGTTTGCATGTTTTTAAAAATAATTAGAAACCCGGCAAAGAAATGTTACCTATAGGACACGACGGGAGAAAAATTTTACATTATATTTTCGTTTAAACATGCCAAGGACCCGACGACAATAGTTATATGTGCAACTTGTTTGATTTAATACTGAAATTGGCAGTTAGCATTTTATATTTTAAAATCCAAATTAAATCTTTTCAAGACATTCTGATAGCAATAGCCTACAAGTTAAATATTTAATAAGAAAACAACAGTGATCTTTTGTTCAGCTCTGAAACCTTCCACCCCTACTCCGGCCCAGCACTTGCTCTGGACCAGTTGATAAGGAAGCTTCCAGAGCTTTCTTATCAACACGTCTTGTTCTTGCAGCCTACTCAACTATTGTGAATATAATACTTTAATTTCAAATCTTTAGAAAAAATAAATAAAAATGGTTTTCTCAAATTACTATCTAAAATAAAACCATGTTAATTAACCAAATGTTGTGACAGGTGTGTCTGTCTGCTGGCACAACGCAGACCCTGGCAAGTTGCTCGTGGCGGAGAAGAGTGGCACAGTGCGTCTGTACAATGTAGAGCGGCAGCAAGCCATCCTCTCACTGGACACCTCCTTGGTGCCGCTCACTGCGGCGGACTGGTCTCCTGTCAATTGCTTCCAGGTGGCAGCACTAGCCAGTGGCCACATTGTCATCTGGGACATTACACGCTCTAGGTAGGACAGGCCTACTTATCAGTTGTGATTGAATTGCATTGAATAGGCACTACTTTCAACAGCATTTTGTGTAATGATAATTCTTCTTACAGTTGATTTTGGACTAGTGTAGTGTTTGCCAACTTTATTGGAAATCATCTTTACACAAAGCTTGTTAGTGGAACACCTTTAAATGTGAGTGTTATTATAAAATTAATATTAGATTTGTTTGAGTCATGTAAATAAATTACCCAAAGTGTACTAAATAATTACTAAAAAAGAAAAAAAACCAAGAAAATTATCTACTAGCATGTAGCGTTCAATAACATAAACCAATGGCAATATCAGTAGCAATTAATGCGCAAGGCTACTTTTATTAATTTGTTGTTTTTTTTCATAAAAATCGATCAGACCTTTTGCAGCCATAGCAAAATTGTGAACACCTACGGTTAGGGTAAAATAATAATTTTTCGGCCCAAACTGACCCCTTGGGCCAGCTGTTTTGGAACGGCCTGAAAATAATGAGGAACCGCAGACCCCTAGGAAAAAGTACACTTGGCGACCTGGAATAACAATCGGGAAAACGGGGTAAAATTCATGAATTTAGCATGAGTTCTGTGCTCACCTTGTGAATGACCTTGATGATGCAACTATAAAACATGTTGTTTTAGTCGACCCGTGGACGTCAGGATGGTACATCCCAATGGTGGCAGTCTGCTGCGCTACTCCCAACAGAGCGAATATCACATAGCAACAGTAGGTCAACCCGACAACTCTCTCAAGGTCACAAATGTTAATATGAAGCACCCTGTATGCAACGCCACCATGACGGTAAGTTTTGACCGTGTATGTTGATGTGTAGCGTCACCGCTACAAGCGGAGTTTGTTTGTACAAATACAGCGTGACGTCACACAAACGATGGTCACGGTGACAATATCTAGATGCGCACGCACCCCTGAAATTCGCCAGGAGACGCAGCAACGAAGAGTGGGTCAGGCAAAAGTGTGTGGTAAGAGCAGCAGTGGACATCTTAGATCGGATGAATAGCCTTAGCATGAGTAGATAATCTAATAGGGGTTGGGGAAGGGTATAGACTAGGGAAATGAGATAATATTTAATTATGTAGATTATTAAGTTTACCAAGCCAGTCATGGTGTCGTGGTCCAGTTTCCAGTTTATCTATATAATTAATAAGCTACATGAAACTTTGTCGGTTGAACTCCTCCGCCATTCCGATTTTATCCATTGACATCTCATTGGAAAGAGCGTGTCACATAGATTTGCAAACTGATCTTACATTTTTGAAAAAGTCCCTTGGGCTTTGCCCCAGTGGCTTTGAAAGTTCCCATGTTATCCTTATGGAGAATATAATTGTTTACATTTCGATCAGCTGTATAATTTAATTGCTGTTATTTATTTTTCAATTCAATGAAACGCATTGAGTACATTTATTTACTATTTGAGTTTGTGTAAACATAACCCCCAATACGGATCGTGTAAGTATGGTTGTATCTTAAATTTGTGTATTTATCGTTGTTTTGTGTCGCTATGACGGATTGCGTAGCATGATTGTAACTTAAATGTATTAATTTATCGTTGTTTTGTGTAGCTAAAATTTGTTTATTTGTTGTTTTTTTTCTTTTAAATGCCTCCGACGCGACGACAATGAAACATAGACAGGAGGCGTGCAGCTACAGAACAGTGGCGCGTACAGTCAGCACCTGACCCTGGACAATCTCAACTACAGTATTAGGTTATAAATGCGCCCTAACACTACCCCAAAACGACTTTTCGTTCTCAATTGGCCCTCTATCAATGACCAGTGTTGCCTGTACAGCGAGGCATTTTGAGAAGGAAAAACCGGCCGGAATGCTTTAGGTTTATCAATAACGAAGATAAACATGGTTATCGGAGTTACACACCGATAATCTTTGAATTGACTCTTTAAACTCATAGTAAATATCACTGTTATTCGTTTTGAAATACCTCCAGTAATACTTTGCAATTGCTCGAATTCGAGCAACATGTACACTAGTTATAATTAATACAGTATTTGAATTCACGTTAGGTACTTGTAGATACATTTATGATATCAGATTAGTCCATTTGTATAGTTAAATCTCTGTTGACTATTTATTAAGATGTATTAAATATCATTAAATCTGGTTGTGATTTGCAGCTGAGGTATTATTGTGCACTTTGATGAGGTTTTTAGGTTCATTTGAATATGGTTCGAGAAGTGACAGGAAATGTGCGTGATTTAGCAGTGATTGGTGAAGATATATTGGGCCCAGGTATCTTAATTAACACTCATTCGACCGCATTTTGCCACATAGATGTATGTCCGGAATTAACGAGTTGACTCGCAAAACGTAAACGCTATTGGCTGAATGCGAGTTGAGCCGACTCGCCAAACTATAACCCTATTGGCTGCGCTGCGAGTCGACCCAAACTCGACCGATGGAAGCCGAAGTTTCACGATGATACCGAGTTGAGTCTGACTCGAGTTGCAACTCGAGTTGACATAGTCGTGAGTCGAGTTTGACTCGAGTCAAGAAAATACTCGACTCGTCACATCACTACTTTTTTGATAGTCAAACACACTTTGAACTGATAGTCAAAGATTGAAGATCACATTTTGCTTTAAAAGTCATCTTATCACATTTGACTCTGATCAGTGGCGGTTCCAAGGGTTGGGGGGGGGGGGGGGCTACAGGGGCTAAAGCCCCCCCTTGGACCCCGGAAAAATAAATTTAAACATACTTTTCGTTCCTAAAATACGCAATCTCATAAAACAGATATCAATGTAGTTTTTATCTTAAAAGCAATGGCAGGAGTAGTATTAAGTCCCACATAGATAAACTTTGTGTACACTAGCATAACGAATAAAACAATATTACGCTATGGAAAGTTGTACACATCATCAAATTTTTACAGCAGTCAGCTGTTGACATGCTAGGGCAAAGGCAAGCGCCGAGCGCGCGAGTGAGGACGGGGAAACAGCTGATTTCCTGATGTTCCATAGTTAGTTGTCCATAGTTGTCAAATTGTCTGCTAGCCATTAACTTTACTCATGCACCAATCAGCCATCAGCGGTGGCACCAGTAGCCTATTACCATTGACTATATAAACACTAGTGTTAAAGTTTATATAGTCAATGCAATTACTGAGAATTCGATACTATACATATTGTGACAGATCTATGAAATGTAGAAAAACATAAAGTTAAAAAACGTGTCTACTTGCATGACATATAACAGGTGAAATGGGAGGTTCATCTGGACCCCCCTGCTTTATTGGGGGGTACTCCCCCAAGCCCCCCCTTGACAAGGTCCTAGAGCCGCCACTGACTCTGATTCTCATAACTTTTCCTATGATTGTCTCTGAATACATTTTTGGATTAATTTAGTGTGTTGTTGGTAGCTTGCAGGAGGAGTTACTTGGACTTATCGACTACCTTACGTATGTGTGGGGAGGGACAGATCTATCTGCTTCTGGAAAGTTTCTACTAAATAAAGACCTGTTACATTTAATATAGACTTACTAATTTTGCTCATTCTTTGTATTTATTGTGTACATTAAACAACTTTTTATATCTGCTACCTAGTTAACTTGCCTTGTGTCTTTATTTGTTAATTCTCTAACTCAACTAATCATAAACAATAATAGTACATAGTGACAGGTGAATGAAGTAATCAGTTAAAGTTTTAAAACTGTTATTGTACCCAATAATTATTTTTTGTAAAAAAAAAACAACCGACTTCATACGCTCTGAAAAGAATTAAATAATTTTACTAAAGTAAACTTTTGTAATATTCAGGCTCACGTATTTTAATGCCCACATTGCAGGCGATTATCTTTAACTAAAGGTGTTAATCTTCATGTTTTTTTAGAGTTATGCGCTGGGAGTTATTTTATCATTGTAACCCATAATTGGCAGATACCTTCATGAGGCTTTAAAAAAAAATAAGATAACAAATTATAATCTTATAGGGGTATTAAATTAACGAGCATGTTTAAAAAAATTTTTATGCATTTAAATGTTTTTAATTTGGAAAAGTAACGTTTTAATATTAAACTAATAAACTAGGTTCTTTTCCTTATCATAATATCAACATAATTTTCATATAGACAATTTTAGAGTGCTAGTTTCATAATGCATTCATTCAAAAGTAAACATAAAATACAAATAAATAATTCTTTTGGTACTGTATCTAAACAAAACAGTTCATATGTTTTTTTTATATATTTATTATTTATGTTATCTAGCTATGTTTTATTGATTTTTTAAGTACACTCCCTATCTTATAATTTATTTATATTTGCAGTGTGAGAGCCACGCCGACTCGAAGTACGTGAGCCTGAATATTACAAAAGTTTACTTTATTAAAATTATTTCATTCTTTTTAGAGTGTTTGAAGTCGGTTGTTTTTTTTCTAAAAAAAATTAATTATTTCACGATTTTCAGTGACTGTATAATTTGTTATATATTAATTACTTAAGGTTTTTTGAAAAGCAAAATTGTTTGGACCGATCAAAAACGCCACAGAACAATTATTATTTTAAAACTGCTTGAGTCACCTGTTCAGGTTACATAATCAATGGTTATAAAAATTCTAATTTTAATGTTATGGTAAAACAGTTGTTGAATTGGAATTGTCAGAAATGAAACTTTTGCTCCATGGCAAGAAATAGTTTATTAATCAATATGAAGCAACTGTTTCATGAAGAACTAACTGCCTTTAGCTTCATTTAAATGGTAACATCTGTAGTTATATTTATGAATATTTATGAATATTATTATTTATTGACTTCTCTGCACAACAAACAAAATAAATTAAACAAAATCTATATATTAATACGCAAGCAGGTTTCTTTTCACAGTCATAACTCGATAACGGCTTGACGGATTTTAACGTTTGAGGTGTCAAATTAAAGGTATTTTCACGTTGATGTGCAAATACGTCTCAGATTATTAAGAAAGGGCATCACTTAAGTACACTTAAGGGCTAAAGTTTGGAAGGCGGCGCTATCTGTTGACATTTGATCAAACTCATTTCTCTTTGTTTACAAATAACATATGAACGTAGTTTGAAATAGTTTTTAAGGTTAACCACAGACTGCAGGACTGAAAACTTCCAGAGCAAAGCTGGAATTTATATTTGGTTTCAATCTGTTAACTAAGTCTGGTTCATAATGAAGAGTTTTATATCAATACTAGACAGCAAAGTGTTTAAGAATAAATATTTGATAAATATTTAATTCTTTTTGCCTATGGTTAAATTGTTTTACCTTACATCGTACTTTACTGATTATCATGTAGTTACAGTTCGATGTGATGAATTATTCGCAGGGTAGTTATTCGTTACATTACCATATTGTCATGTGATTTACAATGTGTATCAACATTCCAATTCCTTTATAGTGTTTTCTGTCGTTTGGTTAACTTTCTTATTTCATTTCAATTTAAAACAAAATGCCGCCAGTAGGCTACGACGAAGAACTGTGAGTGGCTGGAGGGAACGCGAACATGACCGCTTACATCAAACTCTCAATTGAACATTTGATGGGTACATAGTGGTAGTACCACCGTTGTGATAGTCCAATCTCGGATAAATAAACGTTAAATGTTTACATTGTAGTGGCTTACTTATTTTTAAGCAAGAAAATGCTGCCCGAGACAGTTAAGTTTTTACTCTTTGTTTCCATAAATGAAAGGTTCGATTACCTCATTTATGCAATTCACCTGAAGGTATCTTCAGATTCTTATTGGAAACGCCCAATCTGAAAATAGGACTGTGAGACTTATATCCAGAAATTATTTGTATTAAGTTCGTCAATTCAATTCTGGCTTTACCATGCTCAGCTTTGAAGCTCATTAAGATGAGAAAGTTCCATAGGGGATCTACAATTTTAAGATCGGTGACATGTTTTACAACCGAGTGGGTCCTCTTAATTCCTCAAGAAGATGATGATCCTGAATACACACAGATATATAAGTAAGTACAACAATGTACTTAAAAAAACAAGAAAATTATCTACTAGCAGATTTTTTTTGAACCCAAAGGAGAATTAAGCACAATTCAAACAAAAAATTCAATGAAAAAATATGCGGAAAATAGGGTCATAATGCCAAACCCATATGCAAATCTTTGAAGACTGTGGCAGACATTATTTAGGTACGAGAGCTCCGAGGAGTCAAGTGAGATTCTTATGTACATAATAAGAGACAGAAGAAGTGTCGTCCCTCGGTACAATGGTGCTACCTGTGTAGGTGTCGTAGCAATTTTTAAAGCTGAAAACAAAGCACCACCTGGCCAATAGTTTTTTCCAACACTAATAATGTTAAAGGCGTATCTATTCTAGCAGTATGAGAGTGAATGTAAATTTAAATATTATTTTTTACATCATAATATTTTTATATTTCTATAATCAGTGATATAAATTATTTTAGAGTGACAAGGTCTTGCTTGCTGTTTATGTTTTTGTTCATTTTTTTTATACAAGCTTCAGTTTTGCTCGATTTCGAGCAACGGGTTATCTAGTAAATGTTAAATATTTGAGGTTTTCAGCATTTTTCATCAAAACAAATATTACACTTATCATATTGTTATATATGGTCCCAAAGGGAAACTCTCCTGGTTATTTTGGTGGTGGAACCACGCTGATCGGTGAAAGAATCACAGTGAAATTGGTGATCATTCATAAAAAAACATTGCAACAAACAAATTGAGAACCTCCTCCTTTTGTTGGTAGTGTGAAGTCGGCTAGAAAGCAGCTATTTTGGAATTAATGTGACACATTAACTTTTCTGCTTTCATTTTCACTTTCCTGCATTGTTTTAATGTGCTGCACTTCAAATTTTCAACCCATAGTAAAAAATAGCAATCTATCTTATTACATTTTTATGATGGTACAAAAAAAGAATTTTAAGGATGCTATGTGACAGGATAGAATGTCAACAGCAATAACAAGACAAGGATTTGTACAATTACCTCAGAAAAATTCATAGGTGTTGAAACACACAAACAATGAGTAGTATTTATTCTTTATTTGTGGCAAAAATCACATCAAAAAAATCTTTTTAAAACTACTTTAAAAAAAGTATATTGGCTAAGGATATTGGCTGCCATTTTGGATAGAGAAGAGATAGCGAGCTCTGGTTTTCACCATTCTTTAAGTTTTTGTAAACACTTCAAAATGAGGTGTCACTTGAAGGGGGTTTACATTTAAAATTTATGACTGTCCCCCAAAAGGGGGGATTCGGGGGACAACAAAAAATGTTTCAATAGAAACCCCTATCAAGTGACACCTCATTTTGCTGTGTTTAAACAAACTTAAAGAATGGTGAAAACCAGAGCTCGCTATCTCTTCTCTATCCAAAATGACAGCCAATATTAACAATTTTACCATTGATTTTCCACAACATTTGACGGGCTACCATTTTGGATAGAGAAGAGATAACGACCTCTAGTTTTCACCATTCTTTATGTTTTTGTAAACACTTCAAAATGAGGTGTCACTTGAAGGGGGTTTACATTTAAAATATTTGAGTTGCCCCCCAAATCCCCCCTTTTGGGGGGACACTCAAAAATTTCAAAATTATAAAATGAAACTTCCTGCTAAGATTGCTCGACCACCAAAAGGACATCTCTGTATACTTGGAAAAATATTAGAGGGGGAGGGGGGGGGTCTTGACTTTTTATTCACCCTGTATAGTTAATATCATGAGATGTTTTCGTTATGGTTGGCGCGTTTTATTTGGTTAAACGAGGTTACATATGGCTGAAAACAAGAGACAAATTGTAAACAAAACACGACATCTACAGACAGTGCACCGGACAGAACTAACAATAAAATTGTCTTCAGCTGATCCTTAAGGATGAAAAATCAACTAAGAGAGTTTGTTTTATCTATGGTCTTCTTACTTAAATGGCAGTTTATTTTTATGTAAAAAAATTGTACATTTAATTTGGATCTTTTACAGGTTATATGAAATATCTATTTTCGTAGTCGGTAATTTGTTTCTTTTATTCAAATCAATACCATTTTGTGAACTGCTGCAAATAAAATGATTAAGTTTGTATTTTCTATACGGGCTTATAACCTTGAATGCTAGTCCTTGATAGGTTATAATATTTGATTCTTTAAAGGCCTATTTATATCCGTCGTGCGGGTGTAAACAATAGAATAGTTCTTCTTTTTATATTTCAGTATTATTACCGAAATAATCCTGAATCATAGTGTTAGAAAACAACATATAAAATAGTTTTGATATTTGCATTGGTACATGATTTACCTACGGACATTGTTACCTAGTACGTAGTATAACATTGTTAAAGTCCAGATGGCTGTCAGTAGAAACTAAAATCAAATTATACCGTACCATTTGCTCGGATGGGCACGCTATGTGTAGGTTTACACGTTCATGTGTAGGTTTAACGCTATGTGTGGTGGAAAAATATATATACTGTAACACCTTTTAAAAGTGTATTCCAAGGAATACTAAAAGGTAGACGACCAAGTGATGACAGAAGTCTCCAAATTTGTATTTACAAAAACGAACTTGCCTGGGTCCATTCCAATAAAAGCTCCAGAC